CGCCCAAAAAGCATCTCTTGCATACCCTCTTTCTTCTATTACTCACGCAAGCAATTATTTCAAATGTAGGCAGATTTGTATACATTTATACCATACATATTTCATGCATTGCCCCCTATACATGCACAGCCACGCCGCATCCACCAATCTACCATCTTCAAGCCCTTCATCGAACGATGCCAAGAGCACTTTATCCTACCGACGCTTTCATATAACGATTCTTATACATATAACACTGGCGAGGCTCATGTTTGGATCATCCCAAGAGCTCGAGGCGTCACGCCTTCACATGTTCGGATCAACCCACTATGAATCCTGGATAGGGAGCAGCCTCGCGTATTTTTTCTGAGACATATATACATATCCACATATGTATATATGTATACACGCCGGAAGGAAACCGGAACACAACGTGAGCTACTTAGTAATTGAGTCGGGAATTATGTAATCTCGACTTCCGCTGAAGAAGTGTTATAATTAGAAACTAGGGGGAAGGGAGGGGTGGTACATGATTATGTATGCAAGAACCTCTATTGCATAATCATATCGTATCCATCATCCCCGCGTCATTATACAATGTTACCCTCCCCTCACACATCTCACGTAACCGGGTTGAGGGTTATCGAATACATCGCATTAACGAAAACAATATTAACAACACATCATAGACCCGTGTACACATTCTAGACCTCTCATCTTCGATCGTCAGCTTCTTTCTCCGCGGTCCTCTTTATTTCTTCATCCACTAGCAGCAGAATCTACTATAATTATCACTCATATCCTAGTCACAATATGTTCTGGGGTACTATCGTCGATGCTCATCTGTACTCTTGAGTCCTCTTCAGCCCCCCCCTTCACACATCTCTAACTTCAACACCGACTCCGACTCCCTTCGAAATCTCCACGTTCTCCTTTTCTCTTTCCTCCTGCTCAGCATCCATCCACATCGATATTCTCCAGAAACACCAAAACCCAAAGTACGTTTCTCAAGCGTTCTTTACGTCTCATAGAGCTCTATCATAATTCGACATGTCTATACACAACAGTGAACAATACACTAAACTATTCAGCTGGAGACATCACATGCAGACCTATACAGATGCAAAGTTGCAACTGCTTCTCTCAGGGTTATTGATTCAATACTACTACTTATTGGTAGGTAGGTTCATTGCATTGCATGTCATGAGTTTCATTATCTTCCCCTCCTTTCCCTTTCCCTTCTTCTGAAGTAAATGTTCATTCATTCACCCCCCTTCCCCCAAAGACCTATTCGTAGAATACAAACATACAATACAACAAACACATTTCAGCCCTGCACCATAAGATAAGACAAGAGATGAAACATTCAAAATTTTGTTACACATATTTATCCGTAACGTAAAGTAGAAATTCATATCGGAATGAGTCAGGCCATCCACCCACCTTGCTATCCGGATTTTTCCCCTTTCCAGATTTTCCTTTCCCGGTCTATTCCTTCCCGCAGGACGATATTGCCATCCATTCACCCGTCCATCCATCTACCTCAAGATATAATTGTTCCCTCGCCATCCATGAAGGCATTTATCTTCGCCTCTCACTTTTATCACGCGCACCCTAATCTGTGACCCTCCAGCTATCAAACCACTTCAACCTAGAGTATTCCTTATTAGGTCCTACCATACCCCATGAAATGGGCATAAAGAAAATATAAAGTGCGATCGTCAAGGCGTACAAAACGCCATAGATGGCATATTGCAAGGTTTTAACTTGGTTTCTTAACATCCAATCCGCACAGAAACCAAATACCAAGATAGCGAAATAGAGTGCTGGGTAGTAGTGGTGAACGTAAGTGACACGAGCCATGGCGACAAATGGCATATAGTGGAGGAACCATCCAAGAACTGGGTACAGTCCAGCATAGTGAATTTGATCAATCTCGGACTGTTTCAGCTCGTCATACCCGCGCTGCCATCTAATGAGATACCAAAGAACGAGTAGACCGAGGAGACCCAAGGAGGCAGTAGAACCCCAGTATACAAGAGGGTTACCAAGAAGGAAGTACTTGACTATATTATCATCCCACCCACACATTCTCAATCCTACGTTGAGAATTGGCCATTGCCAGAAGTAGGAAGCGAGATCATCTTGCTTGTCAGGGTCTGGCACAAGTGCGTTATTCGAAGTCATCATAGCAACATTCAGATGAATGAAGTCGTGAATGAAAGGAGACTTATAAGCTCCCGCATCAGCAGCAGGCACTACCAAGATGGTCAGTATATTCCTCATTGTCAGGCAAAATCAACGTACATTTATCGTTCCAGTGGGCTTCTACGTTCCAGTGAGTGTAAACATCCTTGGGATTGTTGTCCTTGGTGCAAGTGACTTCGATTTGCTTGAAACCCCACTGTGGCAAGTTAACGTTACCAGCTCGTAAGTAGCATCCTAAACTTGTGTGCTTGAGTCGGAAAGCAGTAGTCAAGGTTCTAATTTTGCTTCGATCATTTGAGGAAACATCCTTGACAACTTCCATAGTCCAGTGATCTTTGTCATCACCGACAGTGGTGTTTCCATAACATGAGACTTCCTTGTCAGCCTTGGTAATAGGCGCTGATACGTCGTGTGAGTGGAGGTTGCGACCAGTTTGTGAATGAACGAAACGTAGAACGTCGCCATCAGCAACATATCTGAGAGGTGCCTCTGGGTCGAATTCTGGCTGAGAACGATTAGGATAAAACCACCATTCGTTGTTAGCATCTTTATGATGGTAGCAAGTAATTTGCTGTTGGTTGGATCCTTCGGGGTAGGTCTGAATGTGCGAGTGAAGAAGACCACCGCCGTATCCCATATTCTTGATCGTTGCCCGAGAACCATAAGCGATTTCAAGTGGACTATCCTTTCCAACTTCAGTTCCTCTCAAATTGGCTTGGAACAGGGAACTCATTTGAGCATCACCAGGCCCACTGTTTTGAAGAATGGCGAAGTGGGCAGCGAAGGAGGCAACGTAAACTCCTATAGGGATAACGATCAAACAAATCACTCTGATAGCGACATGCGAGGCGAGCTCGACCTAAACATATGTAAGTCCAATTAACTCAAGAAAGGAATCGGAGTTGTGTTACCTTTTGCATTCGAATATTGCCAAATTTGTTCCACAAATCTTCGATTGTGTAAATACCAACCATGGTTGTGCAAAAGAGGCCAACCATCTTCACACTGCAAACACAGCCAATGCTTACACCAGTCAACAAGAGCCAAACGAACCATTCAGGGGTCCAACTTTGCTTTTGTAAATTGTGGAATTTAGCCCAGCAGAGAACGGTGGTGAATGTGAAGCATAGGAGCATAGAATCCAAGAGGATGAAGCGACTGATTGTGGTGTAGGAGTTTTCGCACAAAACCATCAATGTAACGAACCATACAGCCGGTCTCTTGAAGTTCAATTCGCGAGCAGTATAGTAAGCCAATGGAATAGTAACGGCACCGAAGAAAGCGTTGAAGGCACGCATAAAAGTGTAGTTCACATCCTCAGGATATTGCTCCCCCGATTTGAATTCGAAAGTGCCATTGTAACCTGCAAGATAACCGGAAAGACCGACCAGCATTTTTCCAAGAGGAGGGTGGACATCGAAGTAGAATTCTCTTTTGATGTAATGGGACCCAAATTTTCCAAAACTACATCCAGACATGATCAGTCCACAATCTCAAAGAGTTTCGAATATGAAGAATATGCTTACTGAGCTTCATCCCAAGTAACAATAGGCGAAAGGCCGATTTTGTATAATCTGGTGAAGAATGCGAATATGGTAAAAACCAATGGTGCGATTAAGAACTCCCACTCGTCGAGAAATCCTACTATGGATTGCTTTCCCTATAATGAAATGATTTCCTTAGTCTATTGACCCAATGTTATCGAGGCAGAACCTTTCAGGGTTTGCTCACCTTCTTGACTTGTGTCTTCTTGTCATCTATCTCCACCGTGTTTACAAGACTTCCATTGGATGATGGTACATTGCGTCGACGAGTTGTTTGAGTATGATCCGCACCAGAAGCAACAGCTGTCTTATCGGAAGCCATCTCGAATATCTGCGAGAGTTTTCGAGAAAGAAGCTTCCTCCCTCCCTATAATTATCTCCCAAGGCAACTCTCAGTTGTAATATGATTTGCAGTAGCAGTATAAAGTTCGTGGCCCAAGTTTAAGGTTGCGGCTGTCAAATGTCGAGAGTCGCAACTTCAAAAACTTCTAGAGAATGTCGGAGAATTGAAGAAGAGTAAATTAATTAACAAAGGTTTGCATCTCTCCACAAATTCTAAGAGTAGATTTGCAGATGAAGAGGAAGAAGAAGAGGAAGTATCTAAAGACGTAATCCCTTGTGAAAGTTTGTAAAAAGGAGTCGAGCTCTAAAAGATTATACTAAATCTACCTTGCTTGAATTCAATTGGGGTATCTAAATTTAGTGCACCACTACCACATATACCCGAAATCTGTCCTTCTCTGCTGACGAGGCTGAAGCAAGTAGATGAAAGTACATTCTACCTGGGTATTTATTCTAATTTTCTTTTCACAGTAATACATTTCATTATATGTCAAATTACCACTCATTAGTTATTTGGGGCACATATACTAATACATCAAGCTATGTTTGAACTTCAAAAAGGCACAATTTAGATCAAAGTACGCACGTTTTTCGGAACACAGCCCATGGGTGTCAACGTCAGACGAAATTATAACACGGGGCTAATTACAGTAGCCAGGCTAGCTTTCGTCGTTTTGAGAGTTCTCAGACCTTGTTAAAATCCGATGCACATGCCAGTGATATTGGAAAGATTTGAGCGTTGGATTTTGAAACCCTTATAGATTGTAAAATGTCTGGCCACTAGAAATATTCTACAAATTCCCATAAATTCACATTCTATTGTGCTCTAGATGGCACTGGTATTACACTCTCTCCTTCGAGCTTCCATGTACGCCCGCTTGTTGCTAGTTCCAATCTAATGTCCGTGTATCCTACTAATACAGCCGCTTATTCCTCGTCTTGATCTAATGGCTTATATTTCCCACTTTTGATGCTGTCTCCTTCGCCTTTGTTTCTATTCACCATACGTGATATCCACCCTCCAACACCTTCTCCAGACTCTTCATCTGCCCCATATTGAGGCTTTCCATTGACGATAGAAACATTGGGTGGGTCGATATCGAGACCCGGAATGGCACTTGAAGGTCCAATACCATTTGGGCCTCCATAACCACGTCTCAGGTCAACAGAAGGAACGGGTGAGCTGATGCCCATCAACGACCCGCTCTCGGCTCTAGTAGCTGGTGTGGGCATTGCTGTGGTCGCGTCACCAAATATCATGTCCATATCTTCCAATCGTACACCAGCTGTCTCGGGATAGATGAAATATACTGTGAGTTGTTAGATTTTTAGTTTGGTGGGGAATAGCACTAGCCTTACCAACGACAAAACTGGTTGCGCAGAAAAACGCATGAACCAAGTACAAACGCCATGTGATCAATTCTTGTAGAATAGGCGTCATTTCTCCTACGAGCCAATTGAAGGCCCAGTTAGTGGCGGTAGACAAACTTGCTCCTTTGGATCGAATGCTGAGGGGAAGAATCTCGGGTGGATAAAGCCATGGAATAGGTCCCCAACTGAATCCAAAAGCGCCATTATATATCATGACAAATAGAACAACCAAAGTCGGTGTAGCCTTTATGTCCAAGAACAAAAAGTAAGAGATGCAAGATAGCGATATAACCATAGCTATTGCGCCACTAAGAAGAATGAAGCGTCGGCCCCAGCGGTCTACAAGATACCATGGTGGTATGGTACACAGGAAGTACGTGATAGCGTTGATTCCTGTCATTAAAATTGCTTGGCGACCACGCCAACCTGCGGATTCGAAGACAAGCGGCGCATAATATGAAATAACGTTAATGCCATTAAGTTGAGCGAAGGCCTGGGCAGACATGGCAATGAAGACACGAGTACGATATCGTCGAAACATATCTTTGTAGGATTTCTCGCCCTCCTGACGAGCCAACAAAACATTCATCTTAATTTCTCGATATTCTTCTCTTGCCTTTTGGTCATGAATGTCACCACCACCATATAGATTAGCAATAACTACCATACCTTCCTCATCGTGATCGTTATCCAAAAGCCATCTAATATGATCATTAGTCGCAAGTACATTTCATGCAGAAAAATAATACATACCTAGGTGACTCGACAATGATCAAACTTCCAACACCCAAAAGTGCGCCCATAACGCATTGCATCAGTAGAGGTATTCTCCATGACATATTTCCCTTGATGAAACTACAGAAATAATCCACCCATACAGAGGTTGCATATCCTGTGATGTTACCCGAGAATTCAATACAGGCAAGTTTTCCGCGGTTATGTGGGGGTGATATCTCGGATTGGTATATAGGAACAATCGTAGACAACATACCCACACCCACACCTGCAATGATACGACCAAGCAACATCATAGGCATGCCAGTTGCTAATGTCTGAAGCGCGCCTCCAACGAAGAAGATGCAGGAGCCATATAAAATTGTCTTTCTTCGACCTATTATATCACCGACCTTTCCGACGACAAGCGATGAAATAAATGCACCGATTTCCAAAATAGCAACCATGGTACCGACTTCGGCTCGAGAGGGCTGATTGAAATAATCCTTGAAGTAAGGACCGCTACAAGGCAATTAGCCAGGAACTGGAATTCCAAGTAGCTACAGTAATATATAATACATACGTGATAATGCCAGACATAACTCCCTGATCATATCCAAAAAGGAACACACCTAATGATACAAAAATACTAGTAAAATACCTGTCTCATCGTCAGTTCAGTGCATAGGGCGTATTGCTCAAGGTCTTTACACTAATGGCCGGCCTGTCAGGCCGTGCATCTGCCTCTCACCTCCCGACATGATTGCGGCTAGAATATGCTCAGCTCGAGTTATTCTTCGAGGACCAGGATCTGGTATTTCGATATCCTCTTTAACAAGTCCAGGATGATAATGTTTCTCTTGTTTATCGGTAGCCTCGTCGTTATATCGCACTCTTTTTCTTGATTTTCTCTTCGAAGAGCCGCCAAAAACTTCTTCGTCAAGGGATGCTCGTAGTCGAATTTGCAACGGGTCTTCCTCGTCTGCGAGTTGCTCTGCAAGATCGCCTGTGTCACTCCACGAGAATTCGGAACCAGGTGACGTTGAGCGCGAAAGGGAAGACCGCCGACCCTGTTTCTCGTCCGAGCCCAGCAGTCCTTGGTTAGGATTCAATCGGCTTGCTGAGGACAATGTTCGTAATGGTATGTTAGCGGGACGACGAGATGATTTTGGAGAAGGAATGTTGAAGGTAATTGAGCTGTAGCAGCAGCCCAAGTCGCGCGGAGTTGGATTGGTGGGGAAAAGTCGGGGTAGGGAGTTATTCACGAAGTGGATGAGATGGCACGTCACTAACACCGAGACCCTGAATGGCCGTGGTTGTTTTATTGTGGATCCCACACGGTAAGATGAGCATTCATATGATAAGAAAAAATGAAACAGAAGAGACTTGGGCGTCTGTATCTCCCTTTCGATTCGTAGTACAGTTTTGTGATTCAATACGATGTTGGTTGATGATGTTGAAAGAAGGCTGTGTGTTGTCGACCTACTGATATGGGCGGATGACGAGGAGTTTAAGGTACGCGGACCATAAAACGATCCTGCAATTGAGAACTGGTGCTTGACTACTGGGTTTGATACTAGATGCGGATCCCTCTACATTCGATGTGTCACGTGGTGCTTACTACATGCTACGTTTGGACACCCAAAACTTCCCCTTTTCTTCGTATCAATTATATTATCTTGACAGGACATGTCAACGGCTTGATTCAGTCGTATCAGAAGATACTTCAAAAGTCACAAAAGGTAACAAAAAGTAAGCATGCTTAAGCTAGCTTGCCTCGAGCATGCATGAACTCATTTAATTATTATTCTACAAAAGAATACCTAGGTCGGAGGTGATAAGTATGCTCGGTGTGGACGGAATTGCATACACAGTAAAATCATCAGAATCAAGGAATTCTCAGGAACACTTCAGTTTATAGACTGGTGGACATGGAATCATGATAACGAATTTCTTCCGAACCTAATAAAACTTGAACTTTATATTAAAGATAAGATACTCAATTCAATAACTTCCTTCTCCTTTCGAAGAGAAATGCTGATCGCTTACTCAATAACTGATTTGAAGAAGATACGACTTGAGTGTGTCCATCACCGTCACCCAGCTATGGAGAATTGCGCTCGTGATCTCCCCATCCCATTGAAGATTGTAAGATCTGGGCTGATACCAGCAGGATGAAAAAACTGGGACACTCAAGAAATGCACTCTTCTCGACATTCGAGATCAAATCAGATAATCGTTATCACAATTAAGAGCTGAATGAACATGTTTACAAGTTTTGAACATGAGATCATGTAGTTTTCTTTAGACTTTTTATACTCGAAAAGAAAAAGACAAATTCTTTTTATTTTTTCAAAGAACGCTTTACAATACTAATACCCAGTTGCTTCATCTAGATTTATTTGTTTCTTATTCTGATCAGAGTAAATTGTACTATTGACTATCTTGATTATCCTATTGTATATTATATTACTATTATGGAAAAATGATTGCTTAAAATCAAGGATTGGAGGAGTGAGTACCGCTTGGGAACTCTAGCTGGCGTTGCTTTAGTTCGGCAGCATGTTCTCGAGTTTGGAATAGAGTTGCTTCGTCGCGAACGCGATTTGAAAGAAGGGGAGGGGAAGGAAGAGATTTTACGCTACGCACCGTTTCGCATTACCTCGCCAGATCTCTCGTGCACAACCCTTCCTCCTGGTGCTTCCTGATGTATAGTTTGTAGCCGCGTGAAGAATCAACTCGAGACGCATCAGATGCGCCGGATCAGAGTCGAGAGGTACCGTAGCTCATAGCAAGAGCGTAGTAATCCCGTGTTGTTATCCTTGGGCCCGTCTCTACAGCTGCGCTTGCCTGGAATCCGCAGAAACCTCCACGACGTATCCCTCTACACACACTACTTCGTACAATATTCATTAGAGCTCCCGTGAACCCTGTGCAGTCGCTCTCCTCCCCTTTGCATCCTTCGCTGGACTCAAGAGACGCGGCCTGATCCGCTGCTCCACATCGCTACTCCCATCAACTATCTGTGAACTTCCGGCAAGGTATACCCGCAAGCCGTACGCATTGTTGGATTTCGGATTCTACTCGCGACACCCCAGAAGTGCCCTGTCGACTTTCATCTACAAAAGATTCCTGCGCAGGCTCTTCATCCCACTGCAGACTCGAAAGGGCCGGTACCGCTTTAAATGATCATTCGTAGCTTCGACGCCTGATAGTTTTCATTTCCGTTTCGCTAGAAGTCCTCTGTTCCGGGCTCGTCGCGGACGCTCAGCTGCGCGCGTGCCTTAGCTCCAAGTACTGCCTCTAGTTAGTGTACGATCACCACCCACCTCCAGCTCCAGCGACTCTACTTAGCTCCCCGATAACAAGATCGAAGGCTCGTAGGATGCACTATGTACGAAGTCAAGCAAAATGTATATCGGTTTTGTTGGTGGATCATTTCGAAGCTATTCTGAACGAAAAAGAATGAATTTGATTAGATTATACTAGAAAAGGAACCTCCCCCCAAGCATTGGAATTTTTATCTTCAAAAAGATCCACAACTTCATCTAATTCAACCTCAATATCATCATCAGAAACAAGATCATCTTCTAAATTCAGTATTAAATTCTCTCTCAAACTTTCTAGAATCTGTTGTATATGATTGTAGTAGAAAATGAGTGATGTATGAGAGAGGATGAATAAGCGATTTTGTCTCTTACTAATACAAAACGTGATAAACACCTTCTCATAGTAACTTTTTAACCACCCACCGGAGAATGCCTTCGAAATTAAAGCATATTCTTGGCATAACATTTCATAACGCTCAAAAAACGTGATTATATACAAATTATCCTTCAAATTATATAATTTGCCCAACCCTAGTTACGGAGTCCATGGAGCCGAATTCTTTCTTCCACTCTCAAGTTCAACATGCTTCGTTCGTTCATCCAGATGGAGCGATAACGACTTCTTCTTGGATAATATGCAGAATTACGTGTCAACCCCCTGACAAATAATCACGACACTTTGATAGCCTCGGCAAATGAGAAGTGCTATGATTTTTTTGTCATGAAGTCTTGGCGCTCTAGACAGCAATCTACTTAAATAGAAAATTTCCCACCTCGTATCTACTTCGCTCAACCTCCATTTTGTTGATAATCATGCCTCAATTCCCTACCCCATCCAATCACAATACAACCAGAAATACAGTGTGTACGCATCCTTATTTTGACAAGACGTCTTGTGACAAATGGGATGTTGTGGACTTTTGTGACAAAATATACAAGGAATTGGGCCATGAGAAGTACAATATATCCAATGTCCACAACTGCTGGCGGACGTCCATACAACACCTACAGAATAGCGAGGATCCCAAAATTGCTGGGGTGGCTAGTAAACTGCGGGCGGCATGGGTTCTTTCAGTAAGTTGATTCTCTGAGCTACAAAACTAACATGTACGCATCATCTGTATCGCAGGATGCCTTCGTGGCGTCCTGGTCAACGGTACACCGAGGCGCATATCGCAGCCTGCCTTCGCGGCGGACTGACAAACGATTGTGGACTTTTTGGGTGTGTCTTCTTCGCGAAGACCCCTCGCTCCTGGGTTGCTCTTGACCTTCGTGGCCATCAGATTCACTAGCCCAGTCGAGCTTGATGTTTGTTAATAGGCATTCTTTGGCAGAGCCCCAAAAACGACCAGCAAAGGGCCAAGAATTTCATCAGGTCAATAACGAGAAAGCGTGGACGACGCAAAGTCGTCAATCATGGGCCTACTACTATCGCTATCAACCAAAGTCGTATTGTGTTGAATTCGTCGCAAACAGGAACCACTATTGTGTTGGTGTTCTTTCCAAGGATAGTGTAACAACAATCGTCGTTAACAATTCTATACGCACAGTGGAGCTTCTGTCTATCAAGACGGCCCAGACACAAATTGTGCCGATTCAGAAGCTGATAATGATCCCAATAATCCAAACGCGACTGTTGACTCTAGTCCCGACAAGCAAGACTCACTGACAGTGGAAGTCTCCGAAACGAAGAGGCTTCAAGAAATCCTTGGCTGCTTGGATGATTCACGCATGACCCTTACTAACGATAAGAAGATGTTACTCACCCGTGGCAATGTTTACCTTCAAGATATCATGCTAGATTATGCCCGACGTACTGGCAAAGTAAAGCCAATTCATTTTGGTATCCTGGACGCGGAATCAATCACGACACTGAGTCTCATGCGTGAAGATTGTGAGCAGATCACAGACTGCGTTGAAGAATCACCGCTCCCTAGGTTTCCCCTGGAGTTGCTTCAGGCCCTCGAGAAGTATGAAAAGGTCAGTCAGTACTTTGCCATTAAATATTCGGAGGCCTGACAACTGATGATTGATGATTTTCATAGGCGAATTCCTACGAGCACTCATGCCGAATCGAACGCACAATGTCTCATAAGGGCGACATCAAATGGATCGGTGATGTTTCGTGCCACATGTGAATTACACGCCGGCTTCGCCCTATACTATAGGCTGATTTTAGAGCAGTGTCCGGCTTTTGGAGAACTCCGGAATGATCATGGATGAAGAGCTGAGTGAGGGGGTTTGGGATTGTTTGGTTTATCCTCGCTTCTTGGACGAAGTTTTCTGCGAGATTCCAGAGCTTGTCCTTCAACGGTAAACCCTCATCCCAATTCTCTGATCTTTTATTCGTCTGCTTTGGCTATTGATCAATATCATTGCAGCAAAGAAATTTCTCTCTCAGCATCTCGCTACCAACCGTACTCCTACTTCATCAACGAACCTCGTTACGATGCGATCGCGCGCCGTCGTAAGCTATCTGCTGACGGCAGTTCTCAATCTTGCTATGAACTGCTTGTCTTGGAGACGATTCGCAGATGGGAAGGGCCACTTGCTGCGAAATGGCTCAACGATTTTGATAAGCTTGTGGGTGGCTTGAGAGCAATGCTGTGCCACATCGGCGAGTTGGTAGAAAACGACCCTACAGTCATGAAGAAGATAAAGGTTGTTGGCATACTACAAGCTGGTTAGGACATTGTCTGTTGCTTAGTACTTCTTTGCTAATCATGCTAGGTCGTCGACATCAGCTTCTTATCATGTCTTGTATTGGCAAGGACGTATTTTACTTGAAGTGTGGTCATATACATGAGCTTCCGGGGGAGCTTAAAGATATGAAGAAGTTACAATACATCTTCGCGTCATACTGGAAAGCACGGGTATGCACCTTGATTCCCTTGTTCTCTTCGAAATCTCATACTCTTTAGGAAATTGTTCGATGTGGTGTTCGCCTTATGGAAGAATTTTTGCACCAAAATTTTGAGCAGGATCAAAAAGCTGTTAATATTCTGTCTCCAAACTTCCTGTAAA